GGAGGACCTTTACTCTTTACATATCAGTGAATACAGTACTAATCCTGTGAACCTCAAATTATAACTTATGCCATAGGACTCTTACACCCAATAGGCTATTCTATTGGATTTGGTTCTCTTTGTGGGCCTGAGTCCAAACAATGAATTGATGAAATTTATCAAGTAATGCGGGATAACAGAGACATAATCCAGAGATCACAGAAACTGAATAAGAAAGAAACATAAATGATGCATTACAGTGACCAGGCTAGCTCTCGAAGGGCCTAGCTTCCTCCTATGTCCTACTGTTCCCAATGATTTCTTTCTTGCCTTTTCTCTCTCCATCTATCTGCTTTTAACACCCTTAGCAAACTTCACACCTTCCTCACTCTTCCCCTCCCCTGCATCCATGTGCCTAGACAGTTAAAAAGAGAATCCCCTTATGCATATCCATTTTACCTCACCTGTGTTGCTCATGTGGGTCCTTAATCACTTTCCTTTCTCCTCACATAGACTCTTGTTATAATAGGGTATCTATCACAATGCTTAAAAGAGAGATTTTCATGGTTTAATTTTTGTTCTTATGGATGAAAGTCACAAAATGTTAGGAGTTCATTCTAATAAAATAGATGATATATAATTTGGATTCTTACTTCATAGTAAACAATTTTTAACAACCTGTATAGAACTACTTTCTTAAGTCATCAAGATGGAAAATATGCATGACTGATTTGTATAATCTCATTATGGACTTCAGATTTTTTTTTTTTCCTTTTACCTGGGTGGTGTAACACGGTATTATGTGTATCTGATGTCTTTCTCGTAGATTTAAAGGTTATGATTTGAACATTGATTTGTGCTGTAAGTAGCTAGATTGATCGGCGAGGGATTACTAGTATTGAAGTGGTAATTTTTCCATAGGTGCAATCTTTGAGATTAATTTTTTGTTTATAACATTTGATTTCTCTCTATAAAAAAAAATTATGTCCCCTTTTTATGTCTTTTTCTGTAGAAATTGTTTTCTAGTTTCAAATTATTGTTTCATCTTATTCTTACAAGTTTAGTATTTTGAAATAAATTGACTAAATAATTTAAAGTTGAACAACTATGATTGGCTCTATTTTATATATTGTCTTTTAAACTCGCCATATACGTAATTGTTCTGTTTTCTTCAAATGCTAAGTGGGAGTCTTTTTAATGGCAGCACAGCATTCCTGATAGGTCCTAAAAGACAAGTGACAATGATGCTTGATCCTGTTCGTATATACGCAACAGCCATATATGTTGCAAGTATGATAATTGCCTTGTTTTGTGCTCTTTATGTAAGTCCAAACGCATCTGTCTTTTCTTTTATTTAAACACAATAAAGAGCCTTTCTTTGAATAGCTCATTATCTCATTACTTTGCATTAAGCAGGTTCACAACAAGTTACTGACACTTCTTGCCCTTATTTTGGAGTTTGGGGCACTTGTTTGGTATGTCACAAATTTTTCAAATGCCTTCCATTTAAATTTCTTGAATATATCCTGCATTTTGCTGTATGTGCATGTTAATTATATTACCATATGGGGTAAAACTGTAAATAATTCTTGACCGTTAAAGATAAACAAATACTTTAATATTTAAATTTTGATCCATTATCAATATGTATTTATGCCCCGGTAGGTAGTTATTTTAGTCAAAAAATTTTTTTGACAATCTGTCATTGCATGATTAGATGACATGGAAAAAATGATTTACATAGGATCAGAATTAAACCCGTACTATAAAAAAAAAAGTTAAATTAAATCCGTACTTTGAACTATACAAGTTTTGTTATTAATAATTAATAATATATACTTATAAAGCATAAAAGAGTATAAATATTAGCCTGCTTTCTTCTAAAAATTAATGATGTACACGCTTCCATATTTGTATAATCTGATATTTCTCATAAATATATCTTCTTCGAAGTGTATTATTTATTAAATGTCTCAGAAAATTGTGAAAATAACAAAAAGAAAAACATTAAATATATAATGACTGTTCTTAGTATGGACATATATAGCATAGCAGATTAGATTTAACTTGTATCCTACCCATACTTGTATTCTACGTGTAACGTTTTAACATTTCTTCCATTCTATGGTATTTTGATTGACAGGTATAGCTTGAGCTATATCCCTTTTGCGAGGTCCATGGTTTCAAAAATCATGGTTTCATGCTTTGACACAGAATTTTAGGTTATATACACAAAAGACCTATGGCATTGTCTGTTGAATTCTCTGCGTTGACACCCTCAATATCCTCCTTGCAGTTCTGCAGAAAGGTTTTTTGCCACTGAAACACAGTTGTGTATTAAGATCCTCTGTTGTTGCCTGATCTTTCCTTTTGTGGAGTCTTGTCTAGGTTCCACTAAGATTGTTAGACGTAAAATCTTGTGAATTTGTATTATGCTGTTTATGAGCTATAATGTAAAGAATTTAGTTTCTCTCAATCTCAACCGGTTGAATTTTCATTCTCTACTCGTTTGTCATTTCTTTTGTTTTCTAATCCTCATGCTGCTTTGGGGGAAAAACCATGTCCCAAAGTCTGCAACCATTTATTCAAGAATACTTCTTTTTATGAGCACGAACCTAACAATTAATTCATTTAATCTATTAGAAGAATTACAACTTAGTTAAAAAATATAACATGGAAAATATTAAAGAAAATAATGTGACTCCATTTGACAAGAAACAAAAATAATGCAGAAAAGGAAAAGTAAGGGAAAAAAATTTAAGTCTTATCTATCTTAAAATCTATTAAAATAATATCATTTACCATTTATCCAAACTTATATTAAAAGTTGATTTTGTAAGATTGAATTAGTTTTAAATATACATCTTAAGAGTATGAGGCACTAGATTTTAACTTTGCTGTTATTATTAGTCACTAAAAAAATGCCTGGTGCCAATAAAATCTTACAGTAGCATTTCCATACTAACCAAGAAAATACTACCCACACGACTTATCTCCAAATGAATTGCTAGTAAGGGGAATGACACACTGGACTAACTATGAAAAATATGTTTGCTAAACTCTTACCAACAAGGCTATTAAAAATTAGATAATTTACACGAGTTTATAAATTTAAATATCAAGTCTACTATTAAAAAATATTAAATTTCAAAACAAGAGTATGTAAGAACTGGGCCACCGGCCTTTAGAGACCAATTAATAAACAAACACGCAGTTCACCTGTTCTTACTGATCATAACAAGGTATTTGTAATTTGATTTGATTATGCAGCATATTAAGACAACATTGAACAATATAGAAAAATCAAAGAGTCAGCGTGATCAACTATTAGCTGCTGTAAACCCGAAAGAAGCATAAGATATAGAACCAGCGTCCCAAGTATCGTGTACAACTTTGGCCTTTGCGTTTTCACCAGCAGCTCCCATGGCCACATGCAATGGGAAAAAGTGATCTGGCCAAGGGTGATTCATTTTTGCATACGGGGCCTTCTCTTCGTATTCATTTACATCCTCGTATCTACAAGATCCATGGGTCGAAACACTTGCATTAAATCATACATAAGAATAGCATGCTATCCTTTCATAATCTCAAACTAGTTTAAAGCAGTTGTAAAATCCCTTGGAGTTTCACTTAAGAAGAGTGTTTGTCAAAAAAGAGTTTTACAATGTGTTGCAAATATTTCTCATAAGGATGCTAGGGACACTTTTTTCAATTTTTTTTTTACTTAAAAATCTCTATTATTTGCTGAAAATCACAAATCTTGATTGATAGAGTTATAAGGTGGTTTGGTGATTTAGGATAGAGACACCGAATTGGAGTGATAAGGAAGGTGTAAATTCAAATTTTTCACTGACATAATAACTGATAATTAACATTTACCAATAAAAAATAAAATAGATCTTAGTAGTTCCTACTACTAAATTACAAGGGACTCATTAAGTAAGACTAACAAAATGTGTAATTTCTAATAATTTTCAACCAACAATTAAAGTAAATAAAGTATCTTTCTCATATTTCTAGTACTTTGTACAATTAAGAATTTAAAACCTTATAAAAATTGTGTGTAATATTCGTAATTCTTTTCTAACTACTAGGGTTGGTCCAATAGTTGGATGGGAACGAGTTGTGATAATTAAAAGTATAGAAATCTAGGTTCAATTCTCATTGTGACTATCTTTATAATTTTTCTATTCTTATAAAAAAAAAAATTCACAATTTTTTTCTTATAGAAATTATGGTGGTTTTGATTCTCTAGACCACACAATCCTTAACTAGTTGCTATCTAAAACTTAAAAACTGAAATGCATATCATATAAAGATTGGTTAAGATAAGAAACTCATGATCTTATACTACCTACCAATTTCTCCTTTTCTTGGCTTATAATTTCTATGCAGAAGAATGTGAGTATGAAGATGAATATGAAACCAAAGCATTAATTAATCACCTGCCATCAAGAAGAGAGGTTTTTAACCAGGACACAAATGCCGTGGCCCAAGGAGCAGGTGGGGTACCACGAGGCCTAATGGATCTGAGGTTGTGGGTGGCACTGCCAGAGCCAATGATTAGAACACCTTCATCCTTAAGAGGGGCCAAAGCTTTTCCCATGTTATAGTGATAAGTAGCACCTTTGTTGGATGAAACTGAGAGCTGACACACTGGGATATCTGCCTCTGGGTACATCAAGTACAGAGGCACCCATGCACCATGGTCAAGCCCACGTTTCTTATCTTCATCCACATGGCTCAACCCTGATGCCAAGAGTAGTTCCTTTACCCTCTTCGCCAACTGTGGAGCCCCTGGTGCTGGATACTTGAGCTGCCAACAAAGGGTACAAGTTCAATGTAATAGATTTTCCATTGTAATTTAAGGATTTTGGCACTGTTATGTTTACATGTACATTTTTTGTGGTTGAATCAGAACTAAATCCAAATTATTTTTCTCTTATTTCTCTTTTATTTAGTGTATCTGAACTTATTTAACTATCGACCAGAAAATAACTACATTAAAATAGGGAAAGCTAGACACATAGTAAGATTAAAAGAAAATAAAGAATTCTAAGTATTTGTACTTCTATTTGAATTATATCGAATCATAGTCGACAAGTATGTAATATGAGCAGCAAAACTATTGAGTACAAAATAGTAGTTAAGAGATTAAATATGAACATTAGGAATCAATAACCATATATGGTGGTGGGATCCTAACCAATAGAGTTTGATTAAGAATTTGAGTTCACAATATTCGTTTGATGAGCGATTAGGTGCTTAACTTTTCAGTCTTTTCTTATTAAGAATTTGTTTGATTATAAATTAAAAGTGTTTTTAGTTTTTCTAATAAAAATAAGCATTATGTTTTATTAAAAAAAAATTAAATTTTTTTTATAAATTTGTATTCAAATATGTTCTTAGTAAATAAAAAAATAATTCTTTGCCACATACTCTTCAATGAGTGACACCCAAGTAGGGATGACAATGGGGTCCCATAGGGGCGGGTAATAGTAAATCTGCCCCAGCCCCGCTAGATGAAAATTGGCCCCATACCCAACCCATATCCGCGCGGGTATCCATGAATTTCTTGAATACCCACGGGATATCACTATCCTCCATTCTCACCTGGTTATAACCGGACCGTAAATGAATTTTAGAAGATACCATAGAACCGTGTAACTCATCTAAAAGATCATCCACTAAAGGAATAGGGAACCTGTCCTTAATTGTTTGCTTATTAAGATCTCTGTAATCAACACAGAGTCTCCAAGAACCATCTTTCTTTCCAACTAGGACAACAGGACTTGCAAAAGGACTGCTACTTTTCTGTATTATACCAGACTTAAGAGAATCTTGCACTAACTTGTCAATAATATCTTTTTGCTGCTTAGCATACCTGTAGGGCCTCTTATTAATAGGATTAGCTCCGGTAACCAAGGGAATTTTATGATCATGACCTTTTCTCTTAGGTGGAAGTTTGGTAGGTTCTTGGAAAATATCATCAAACTGCAGTAATAATTCATCTATAGATTCAGGAATAATTTGACTGTCCGCATGTGTAGTTAACAAATGCAGTAGGAGAATATTATCCTTGTCACACAACTGCAGCATAGACAAATGCACACCAGAGGCAATTGTCTTCTGTAATTGTTTTTTTCTGGCAGTCTTAAGTCCTTCACCTGTTGCGCCTTTCAATACCAGCTTCTTACCTTGAACATAAAATTGCATGGACAACCTATTGAAATTCCAGGTAATGTCTCCTAGAGTAACCAACCACTCAATTCCTAGCACCACATCACAACATCCCAATGGTATAAGAAGCATATCTGAGGTAAATCCCGTGTTTTGAATTGTCCACTGAAACTGCTTAGCAGTAGCTGTAATGCTTACTCGAGCTCCATTAGCTACTGCCACACTTAAGGTAGGAATATCTGTTATAGGATAACCCAATTTCTTAGCCACCTCCTCATCTAAAAAATTATGGGTACTTCTACTGTCAATGAGTATGTGCAAGGGCTTCTTCTTATAGTAACCAGTCACTCGCATAGTTTTGAAGTTAGCTATACCAGTCAATGCATTAACTGATATTTGAGGGTCCAAAGAAGTACTACCATCTTCCGGAGTGTCATCAATCTGATCTACAATATCCTCCTCAGTATCACTCACCTCTAGAACATGAATCTCAAGTTTCTTGTGTGTCAACGCATGTGTAGGGCTATATGGTTCATCACAGAAATAACGGAGTCCTTTGGATCTCCTCTCAGTCATAAAAGCAGGTGTGAGTTTCTTACTAGTTTGTCTTTGGTTTGGGTTTAGGGAAGTCTGTGAATCAGTAAGCTTGTATATAGGTTTATGTGTAGGTAAAATGGATTTTGTACTAGTTTGTGTATGCTGAAATTTAGGAGGAGTTTTGGTAGGGATGTTTGAACTAGAAGCTGATTCATACAATTTAGCCAACTGGAATGCCTTTCTTAAATCTTGGGGCTGAAACATTTTGACTGTCATTTGAATATCTTTTTTTAAGCCTCCTACGAAACAAATCTTTCTTGCCAACTAGGACAACAGGACTTGCAAAAGGACTGCTACTTTTCAGTATTATACCAGACTTAAGAGAATCTTGCACCAACTTGTCAATAATATCTTTTTGCTGTTTAGCATACCTGTAGGGCCTCTTATTAATAAGATTAGCTCCTGTATATAACATGCTTAACACATGTTGGTAACTTATTCACCAACCTCACTTTTGTAAGAAAATAAGATGAGAGAATGTAGTTTTAGGGTTATGTGATACAAGGATAATTAGAATATTTAAGAAATATTATTAAACAGGTATGAATATTATCATATCCGCCCCTGCCCATTTATAAATGGGTAAAAAGTATCCGTCCCTAGCGGGTACCCAATTAGCCTACCCATTTTTTATTCGTAATAGATTTTATCCGCAAATACCTGCCAGTGCGGATATTTTTGTCATCCCTACACCTAAGACACAATTCTATCTAGTTTGTTGAATACA